TAGAAGCAGATTCTGCTAAGTAAGCAAACACTAGAAAGTAGCCACAAAGCCTTTGTTTGAACAAACATCTAGGCGCTTCACTATTGACTAGAATTACTAGAGATGGAAAAAGAAATTTGGAACAAGACATTTTTGAGCTTTTTACAACAAACGTCAAAATAAACAGTCGAAAACGGTTTTTTTTACATTTCACAACGTATCTTTAGTGGTAGCCTAAATGTTCACTATGAACCTGAAAAATCTCTGAAACCCTTGAGATAGATTAAATTCTCACGGAGGAACTGACAAAATTCAAAAACCCTCGTGATAGAGTAAAATTCTTACAGAGGACCTGACACATTTCAAAAATCCTTGTGATAGACTATCCTCTCACAAAGGCTTGACAAGATTTTAAAAACGTAGTTATTTGATAAAAATATTATCAAAAGTTTATTGCGTTCATGTGGATAATATTAGTGGGCACTCAAGCGTGCCGTTGATCTACCTAATCACTTCATTAAGAAGAGCTTGCCGTTCACCATCATTTCCATAACTGATGTAGAGGCTTGCTTATAAAAGTTAATGGGGATACTTGCAGCAAAATCGTTGCTGGTAGCTCTGATTTGAGAGATAACGCGCTGTAAAAGCCGATACTCTTCGCATGCTGAAAGCGTACTGCAGATACATCCATTGCTACCAACACTGAAAAACTTAGAAAAAATTTTTTTCTTGAGTTTGTTCAAAAACGACTGCCGTTTTCTAATGGTTAATGCCACATTTGCATGGAATAAATTTTTTTTGTGAAAATATGTGACGCAATTTTTTTTAATGTCTAAACAAGTAGCAAGATTTGCAAAGTAGTAGAAGTAAAAAAAAATTTCTGCTGAGTCCAGTCTTCTTTTCAAACAAGTAGGCCACTGCAGTTACTGTATCGTTATTTTTCCATTTTTCACCATCCTTCCAAAGTTCATTCAATGTTGGATAATGAGTATAACATCCATATGGAATCTGTAGACGCACAGCCGCTAGCATCCTACTTTGATCTCCAAACCCAAAACAGTTTTCAGAGAACTGTGTGACTATCATCCCACTAGCAAATAAGATACTTCGCCGATGCTAATCAAGCTTGATAAAGTATATGTAGGCAAAGGGCGTAATCTTACATTGCACACTATCCTGCACTCTATTGATACTATTTGCGACAGCAAATGTAGTCATTTCGACACTGAAACGAAGTTCAATATTGCATGTGAACATGACGTTTGAATAAAATTTTTTTTTGCAAGAACGCTTTTCAGTTAGCCCTAGGAAGGAAATGGCCAATTGTTTAAAAAAACAGTTGACAGTAGATATAACTTTTGCAAAGAAAGATACATGTCATGATGTAGAAAAAAATAATGCCAGTCGTAATTCCATTAGGCAAAATGGTTTGTTTAGCTATCACAGCAAAAACTGTTACGTTTGTTCTTTCTTTGAAAAGATTTTTTTCAACGCAAAGATTTGGATCACATTAAAAAATTTGAGACAAGTCAACAACTTACTGCTCAAAATTTTCACTGTGAAACAAGTTCTTGCAACCCTCACCATTTATATGTTCATTTTAAAAAAAAACTTCTTATTACATATATCTGCAGCTGCATATTGGCATGGGTTTTCTACACTCATAGTTTTGAAGGAATTCAACGCTCCTCAAAATTATTTCCAATAGCTGCTATGAGATCAGCTGCCAGGTTTGACAAAACTTGAAGGCAAAAGCGAAACTCGCACACTGATTTGCACATTTTGATGCCACTTACAAAAAATAGTCGTCTAACTATAAAACGAACTCATTGCACGTAAATACGAAAAAAAAATTGTTCTTTATTTTTACTGGTTAACAACCCAAAGGTGTTCTTACAGTCAAAGTTCCGTCAAAACTTTCCGCCACTCTTATTTTTGTTTTCAAAAAGAGCTCATAGGTTATATTTTTTCATAAAACTCATAGGTTACACGCACTGCTTCTCAAAGTGAGACTAATGCAGATTTGCATTTATCATGCATAGAGAACGTGAACTTTATGCAACAGATTCTATATAGTGTAGTCTTTTACGTTTTTCTGCCTCAATTTTGGATAATGTGGAAATGAATAAGTAATGAATAAGTTTAGTAAATTTTGCATAGTACCACTACTGCACTCATTGTAATTTGCACCCTTGGATTAGAGAAAGATTTTTGTTCCATTGGCTTATCTAAAACCAGTCACTGAAGGCACACGAGTTAGTAATCACTCACGTGCTGGGAGCTGAACAAAACAAAGGCACATACTACTGCATTGATGGGTAAACTGATCATTACCATTGGACAAAAGACAACATCATGTATTGAAATCACCCACTCACTCAAACCTTTTGAAACCTTAATCAAGAAAAAAAAATTTTTTTTTCGACTCAGTTCTTATTCGGAAATAACATTGTATCCATTTATTGTTTACTGCAAAGCAGTTACAATATTATTTTAGAAACTGGTTCGCAAATGCCATAAACTTTTTGAGTTACCTGATTGAGTAACAGCGGAGCTATCTATTTTATTCTCGGTAGAAACGCAAAGAAAACAAGGGGTTCCTCCATGTTGACTGATTGTGAGATTACAGTTTACTGGAGTGAACTAGCTACTGCTTCGGGAACGTATCTTTGTGGGAAAGCCCGGACAGTCATTTCAGTTTTAATTCACAAGTTCGAAGCAGATCTAAAGACGCGTTTAGTATGAAGCGGATCCGAAAAATGACAGTCGGCACTATAATATGTTTCTAATGAAATGCACGTAAAGTAGCGAATCAAAAAGCTCATTTCATCATTTTTTTCTGCGAATATATCAACACTTTTTGCGCAAATCAAGTTAAAAAGGTTTTTTTTTTCACTGAAGCAAATGAATCGCAGTTTCTCTGATGGTCCTTCTTATATTCGAAAAAAAAACTTCATTGCAAAAAGAAATTCGAACAAGATTTTTTTGGGAAGAAGAAATAAGTGAAGATTTTTGTCAAAAAACTTATTGCTCAAAGTTTTACGGAAAAACAGATTTTTGTAACCCTCATCACCACTCAAAAGTCCATTCAAAACTGGAAAAAAAATTCCCATAAAACATGTAATGAAAATAGATGTGAAGACCTTGCGAGAGAACACCGCGATAAAGAATGTACTTTTTTTTAAAATTATTTTCGATGACTTTTAACGAACGTCGCATTTCGCAGTGATATTCTCATATTTTGGTAGTTCAACTACGAAGTATGAACAGTAAATAAATAGTCCATTTACACACATATTCTTCATTCTTTTACATTAGAAAACCATAGCTCTAAGCAGAAAGTCCTCCACTGCCAAATTAGATTTTGTCGTCAAATACACAGTCTAATTCCCATAATTTTGAATTTGGTATCTGATGCACTGCAACTAGCAGCAGAAGGTATGTTTGATTATGCTTGTTGTAAAAGCCGACTCCATCAGAACTCTTGCCTAATCTCGGCCATTTGAAAAAAAAAACTCGATGGAAACGGTTTCTGCCAATTTCTTGTATATTGTATCCCAATGATCATACCTGCATGTATGCCCCTAGCAACTGATGTTTCTCAATCCTCAGTATTTTCCGAATAAGAAAAGATTAGGAGGTGGTCGACATACAGATGCTTGCAAGAAAAAAAATTGTTGGCGTCCACACGATTTTTCGTATATTCTGTTGTATCACTCACGAAAAAAAAAAGATGTCAACAATTTTGGATAATTACAGTCTTCAAAGCAGTGAATGAAAAAAAACAGTTGTTCGGATTTCTTCTTATTATTTTTTCGACTATCTAGTAATTCTCTAGCAAAAATGCAAGAAATGCTGAACGTTTTGCATCGCCATACTGTGGTAAGTTTTACCTCTTCGTTTTTTTTGGCCGCACCGCTGCGTATCGCATCTCTCTTCTTTGGAAAGGCGATCCAAAGAAGTTCCTTTTATCAAGCAGCGTACAAAACAAATTTGTAGCAGTCTAAAATTTCGCCCTTGTGTAGAAAGTAGCATAAGTATTGTCACTATTTCCACACTTGTCCCTACGTCTATGATAGAGCTATGATTGAAATACATGTATGTATATTTACATAGGGTCTACATTCATAACCATTCTAAGCTGATAATTCAAGATCTGATTTGTTATTGTATTGAGCAACCCCGTCAAAACAGTTTTCGCTTGTAATTTTTTGTAAGACTAGCTTTCATGTTCACTTACACCCATGAAAATGCACAATATTGATGTATGTCAACCCGTAGTTCAATGCAATCCAATTCTTCCCACCTTTTGCCCCATCTCCAAAAAGAACTCCATGCCAGTCTTGCACGGAAAGCCACCTATATCATTTTTTCCAATGTTGTATTGCCGATTACTCCTAAGACCAACTATGACCATCGATGTCCTTCCGCTCGAGGACGAGCTTTTCGAAGTGCCCGGGATAGGAGAGGTCGTAACTGTTTACGCAGTTCACCTACCTAATTCCGCTTGCATAACGACAACGAACACCTTCCGCTGCCATGATACCATAACCAACACCACCTTTGCTACAACAAGCTCGAGGACGAGCTTCTCGAAGGAATGGAGATGTCAGGATGTAGACGCTGTGTAACCCTATAGCTGGATGTAGCTTGCTATCGGAAGCATCCACCAACTGTCCAGCCGTTTACACTCAGTCGCATATATAAGCTCGTGCCAGCAACTGGCACGGCAGTCGCCTCCACCCCGTGCAGCCTAGCTGCTCCCCTTCCCTTTCCCTTCTCTGTATCTTTATGTATATAATAAATATGATAACCAGTCTTATGTAAGACACCGCTACACACTCAGGTAAGGGGGTCGACACCCTTGTTCCTGACACGCGAACGGCTGAAGATATGCGCGCGTCGCGTTCGCGATCGCTCAACTAATGTTTTTGTGTCTTCGTCCAGCAGTAGCCTCTACAAAAGCTTCCGCGTTGATAACCTCGGTGCGATCAATAGCAAACCCAATGGGCGACACTTACCCAGTTCCATTCCATCGGAAGATATATCGAGCCGAAACTCAGTGAGCAGATTGCCTGACCCCAACTTTCTAATTCTAAGTTCTTCGGAATAGGTATCGCACATTATTGCCCGAAAAGCCATGCAAAGTATGACCAGCCGCATCCTGCATTCAGTATAGCATTGATAAGTAGGCATGCAAAACAAGACTTCAGCCCGACGAAACCCGAAAATACAAGAAACAACTTATCAAAACAAACTGATCTACAACAGACTTTGAACTGTTTATTTTATAGTTTCCATGTCAAAAAGGCAAGATACTGAGCAACAGATTACAGGACACCGAAATAAAAAGTACTATAGTAGATCACAGCGTATTGTGAACTTGAAAGCTTAAGAAGAAACGCGAAGTAGCATGGCCATAAACAATCTAGAGAGATCTAACATTACAAATACACGGGAAGCAAACCCATAGATTACTATAAACACAGATAGAAGCGACATTGTGCGTCACATTTTATGTCAGGTAGTAGATTTTGTTTAGATTTCAATACTTGTCTGCTTTGATAAAAATTAATTTTATGCACCACTTTCAGCTATCTCCCAGATTGATAGCAGTTAGAACCATGCACTTAGAGCGGAAAGATGCCCAAATAAACTGACTTTACATTTATGTACAAATGGCTTTTTTTTTTCAAGTTACCCACCGTAACACGCTAGTCATGGGGTGAAGTAGAAAGCATTTAATGAAAGATACTGCTAAAAATATTGCTAACTCATCCCCCTAAAAACAATAAGAAAGAATGGAGAAGATAAACAAAGAATGGCGAATGAGCGATAGCCAAATAAATCCGACTTTTCCCACAAGACCATTGAAACAAAGATATAGAGTAAAACAGTGGAAGAGTAGTTTTTTTATAACACTTTGTCACTGAACCCTTTTGAAAGTGAATCCACATGACGCTTCCACTTTCAGAATGAAGGGGCCTTCCTGTCCAGCCTGTAAGCAGATAAAAAAACTATTTTGAAAGCAAAGTTGAAAAAAAAAAGATACCAAAAATGTCATTGGACGAATGCTGTATACTCCAGCGGGAACACTCTCCAAAGCGAGTACAGTGTAACCAGGCCTAAAAATGGCGTAGTACAATACGAATACGAAAATAATTACGGAACAACATAGTAGTTGATGCTAACTGCCTGTATTTTTCCTGAAAGGGAAAAATGTCTACGGCATCGCGAAGCGGCTACTATTTAATTTTTTGATGAAAGTTAACTTTCAGGTCTTCAAAATTCCAAAAAATTCATCTGCAAGTTTAGAAATATTGTCCACTAACCTATAAACTCCAGAGTCTGTCCTCTCAAATGGTTTATTTCTAGGTGATGAAACTTGAAGGACTTCAAAGCCAACGCTGTACTGCTTTGGCCCCTTCAGGTCAATGAGAAGGCGGTTCTCATCACTGCTCTCTTCAAGACTAATGTAGAATAGAGGATTGTTTCTGAAAGAGACAATTCAGAATTACGCAGAAGAAAAACTCGCCCAGAAGTGCAGAGATGGAACAGACTTGTAAGTTTCTCTGCTAAGACCATTTCCACATCCTCCCGCACTGCGACCCTCCCATTTTCCTGTTTCCTGAAGTTTTTGTTTCACATACAAAGGAAAATCCACCACAAAGAATCAAATATGCTTACAGTTTTCTTGACGTTGTAAAAACTTTTGATAGGGCTCAGGTTGAACTGAGAGGTCGAGTAAACCCGAAGAGTATAATAGATAGTCCTCATTTTTTCGTACTAAAAAAATTTTTGGTAGTAAGAAGAGTACGGCATCAAAACAAAACACCAACTTGAGCCACCACTAAGGTGTACTTTTGTAGACCTGGTTCGTTGATGACCATCTGACAAAGAAAATGAGGGCTGTTAATACGTATACCTTCATAGAGTGGCTTCGGATCCACTTAAAAGTTTTGTTTATAGATGGAGCTGAAACACCAGAATGCACTCACTTGGTAAGTAGATTTTCTTGCCCGATTTGTAAACTATCACGGTGATGTATTCTTTATTTTCCGCAAAATCTGCCTAAAATATGCGCAAATAGACGGTAAAGGGATAGAAACACAAACAACCTACAATCTCCGTGATATGCCTGGTGAGCAAAATCCATACTGCAGTCGACGACTTGTTATTAACTTCAAGAGAGTATTGTGGGTTGTCAGCAACAGTATACAGATCTTTAACTGGTCCCGCACAGGAATCCCAAGTGCTATAAGGTTGAAAATCAAAAGACTGATAACTATGCGATCTAGCTGAATACGAATCAGCTCACGAGAAAACTCACGCATGAATTCCATAAGTGTAAGGGAAAAGCGCAGGATTCCAATTAACGTAGAAAACATCAAAGAAGTTGCAGACAGATTCGAAATCGATCCAGAACACACCTGCACTTTTCTAATTACTCGAAGACATTCAAATCTCATATATAAAAAGTACCATCATCCTTGGCTTTGGCCTGTGTCGGATCATAGTCAAGAGCGCGACAGAGTTTTGGAGTCCAACTTATTGTGTCGTTTTCAGAGAACCGCCCTTTCCATCGAAGATGCGTCCACGGATTTTTCACCATCAATAAACGTTTACCCTGAACATATATCACACTGTTGAAAGATGTTTGCTGCACTACACCAAGTTAAAAACATTTACGGTGTACACAATCGCCTATTACTAGCGCAGCGCCAACACAGGGCAACTATGAAAGCAATCCGAATCTTTGAGAGCGACTATATGAAGCGGGTGCAACATCGGACTCACATCTATTTTCCTGAGATCCAACACGGCATAGGCGTGACATTCGACGAGGCCCGCTCTATCGCATACACTTTCACTGAGTTTTCCAGTCGCTAAGGTGATCAGGCAATCTCCACGATGGAAACGAGACAGAAGCTTTTCAAAGATCTGAATTCACCAAAATACAATGATAATAAAGGGCACATACGCATATTTCTCGATCAACACAATATGTAAGCAATTTTTCAGAAGATAAAAAACCCGTTTAAACATTAATGGTCAAAAATGATAATACGCAGTAATGCAATACTTTACAAAAACATGATCAAAAAAACGTTACATGACGCAAAAAGCTCTAGTTACAAAATTGTCGATAGAAAAGCAATCTCGTAAAAAGCCTTACCGCGTATCCATCACGTAGCGTTAGATCTTTCTTGATGGCTATGCGATCCGGAATCCAACCCGTTAATGCATGAAGATCGATATTCTACGAAAAAATTTGGGCCAACTTGTCATACCCACAAAAAGTCTTACCGAGTTTGATCCAGGGAAATCGTACCCACCCATGACTTTGAGATACGCTTTTTCCAACAGTGAAACCCAGAGCTCTCCCTTTTCTTGGCTGTACGAGCACAGAAGTTCCATATTATCACCGACTGGGAGGTAATCATCTATGATGACCTGAAGATAGATAATTGATACTCCTGTGATAAGACCTTACCAGAACGAAACCCACCTTTCGCCAAACACCGTTTATATATAGCTTGACCATATACTTCCCAGAAGGATTATAAACCGGATGACCAGCTTTGTTCTGTGGATATATGATGCTAAAAACAAGGCATTTGCGACTTAATGTCCTGCAGCATTCAGTTTACCTGGTAATGATCTGTTTTCCAAAACGCTTCTCGTAGCGTGCAGTGATAGATAAGGAAGCCACAAAAGAACAGTCGGATATAACAGTCTAAAATAGAAGCACTGAGCCAACTGAATCAACACTTTTTTTTCGTTGAAGGGTAAAAACTCTAAATTCTATCTAGAATGCAGCAGATCAGTACTAAATAACAGCTTTTCGTCATGCGAGCAGACAGAGAGTAATTATATAAGTACTGAGAATACAATGAGTGGTAATTGTGCGGTACATGGACAGAAAATCCACTAAGGAACACGATTAAGCAATTATCTAAACAATAAAAAAACAACATCACAATATTATTGTCAGGTAGCATACATACGACAAAAACATATGCATAATCTTCAGCATTTTTTCTCATGTATGCATATTTTACAGATCAAGACTATTCCCACATACCTGTCTTATTGTTCCACTGTCGACGCTGCCAATGACTTTTGGCTCCGGAAAAATCTCATGTGGTCGCAACCACGCCTTTATCCTCCTCTTCTGTTTCTCCGTAAGCGAGAGTTTTTCTTTATCGCTGGAAAAAAGATTTAAACTATCGCCGAGCTGTCCGAACAGTTACCTGAATGGAATGGAATAGTTGAATTTCTCCTTGAGGTCCATTGATAAGAAAGGAACGTATTTCCGACCATTTATATTGGACGTGATAGCAAGAACGGCGAGCTCATCTTTTGTCAAGCTTTCGGACTGTAAGCCACGTCTGAAGTAACACAGCATGACGTAGAATCTCATCATACCTTGTGTGCAGGAAGAGGAGAACGTGGCCGAACATTGGGTGAACGAGGAGTGGATGGAGTGGAGCTACCAGAAGGCGGGTCATTGCTGCTCACGTTAAGTTTCGCCAGGTCTGAAATTACGGTGCGCTTGGTATAAACTATGACCCATCAAGATGGTACAAAAAAAGGCAAGGCCAAGACCAAATCAAAACTGATATTAACACGTTGACGACCTTGTGTATCCGCACGTATGCACGCCCTGACTCCCGTTTAACATTTTCGTGCATCCGCGCATATGCACGCTAGTTTTTTAGGTGCAAACGAAAAGTTTTAAGGTAACTTCTATGCAGTAATACTATTAATGACCTGATTGTCTTACAGAACACAGGGCATCGCGGCAGCTGTTCAGAAGTTTTAGCCGCAAAATTGGGTAATCCGTACGTTTTTGATGTAGTCAATACATGCTAATTACGTTTTCTCGAGAAGGTGAAAACTCTGTATAGCTGTTTTGAAACCAAACAAAGATGAATCAGACAAAAAACATCTGGTTTTACAACGCTTTTCTCGAAGAGCGAATCCTCAGATATAGCCATTGCATGGATTATTGGAGGGAAAATCGATGCAAAAACCTTGGTTTGTGTAAGCCCTGATAAGCCTCTGTGATATACCTGTATGTCTGAACAAAGTTCGCATGTTTTATTAATAAGTGACAAAAAGACTCCCACATAGTGTTTTCGTGCATCCGCGCGTATGCACGGGCCAAATGCGCGAAGGACGTTAGTGAGAGTTTCGCCCAAAATGGCGCGGTCGTCAACGTGTTAAAGCAAAAAAAAAAAACATAAGAAAGAGACTGCACACTCACCATCAACAGGCACATCTGGTAAGCTCTCCGTAAGCAGCTCAAATTTCTTTTGTTCTTCTATCTGTTTTAAGTGCTCCAAACGTTTCAACGCACTGTTTCCGAGAGTAAGCAGCTTTCCCCGCAATTGATCGTCATCACAGTTTTGACCCTACAAAATCATGAACATATCTGCCCATGAGGCTGCTAATATATTGATGCTTGCTTACCGCTTGGATACATAACTGAGTGGCTTCAGAGTATAAGTCAATGGCTAGCGAGTAATGCTCTGATTCGTCTAAAAGCTGAGCTTTCAACAAGGCAAATTCAACCTTCTCCAACAGTAAGCGATTAGGAGATTTAGCTGCCTGAATGAAAAGCTACCACGCAGGAAAAAAACAAGTATCATTAGAAAAGGACCCACACGGGAAACTTGAAGTAGTCGAGGTAAGTCTTTTTTCAGGAACTCTGCACGCTCTACATATTCCATGGCAGTCTTACGGAAATGGGAAGGCATCTGAAAAATTTGGTAGATCCACATATCCATGTTTCAAACCGAATTCAGTTACCATAAAAAAGAAATTACAACTTAACCTCCAATGTCAAATAAGCCATTATTGATAAATAAAAAAGCCTTTCCACTTTGTGTAGCTGAAAAGTGCATCTCTGATTTTGCCAAACTTCGTACATGAGGTTATCTGACATGCTAATCACAAAAACTATTCATTTCGCACGAAGACCTATAGAGATTCTATTAAATGTATAGAGATGGAATCAAAATCTCAAGATTTTAGAATTTGGCATAGACTTGGTCGATGATTTCAAAAAAAACGAGGATATCAAGAGAATTCGAAGAGAAGTTTTAAGGCCGAATTTCACATCAAAACTATAATCCTATCGTAAAGCGCTACTAAAAACGTGATCATCAGGTCAAACGGCTCCAATTTACATAAAGTGGTTTAAACTTCTAGTGGGATAGTAAAAGTCTTTATTGCAAATGTTAACCATACCAACTGAAGTATAGGCGGTTCATCGCACGCAGAGACTGAACGCTGTGGCGTCCGGCTTAGATAGTTCGTGCATGGGAGAGGCAGAAGACGGAAGAGCAATGAAAGAACGCTCGATCAGCGAGACGCGAACAGCGTCCGTTGACGCCCTATTTGTACGTGCGATGAATTGCTTACTATATCTATTTACGAGATAATGCGCTTCCGGAGTTATTGGCAGATACTGCAAATGACTTTGCTACGGCTTTTGACTTCTGAGAAAACAGAAGGTGCGAATTATTCACAAGGATACCTTTTGACAAAATGATTGATTGCCGCAACTTCCTCTTTGAAAAAACTGCTGTATTCCACTCCAAGATTTATCAAAAACACGATATAACCCCAAACCGCAAAACCCTACTTTACTGGCGATCCCTAGCTCGCGTCATTCCTGACAAGCAAAACAAACATTGTAAAATAAACTCAAAAACCTATAAATTCCGAATTTCCAATTGGAAATGAACTTCTGCCTTTGTGTGTCACCGATATGCTACATAAATACCGTAAAAACCAGAAATGCCAAGGAAAATGCCCTTAGCAAAAAAGCAAATCAATAGTGAAATTTCACTAAAGCATTAAAAAAACTTGGAAATGCTTGCCTTCTTCGTTTGCAACAAGTGCACGATGCGATCGGCAGCCTCTCCATAGCAGTAGATGGCCTCCTCATAACGCTGAGCCTGGTCGAATGCAATCGCCCGCTGCGCGAGTTGCAGAGCCGACGAGGTGTCGTGGTCATGGCTCATCGCTGCGCTGCTCTTGCGCCGAGCGCCGACGATCAGCTGCCGCCGTCGCTCGCACTCCGCCTCGTCGTCGCGGCTGAGATCACGCGCGTCCGGGTGTGGTCCGGAAGGCGACAAAACCCAGTTGGAGCGAGCGTATGGAGGCCACGCCCCTCACGAGCGCCTGTGACACCGAGCTCAAGGTCAATCATGCCAGAGACTGACGCTCTTTTGGCACACGCGCTGGCGCACTAATGGTGACAGCATTCTCCGGAGTTCCAAATGTCTGCCCTTGTTGCGTAGTAAAATTATTGGTCAGATATGGGCTAAGCGGTGTATGGAGTATACTTTGATCCTATTTATCTTTTTCTTGAATACTAATTATAAATAATTTACTATGCCAATTTTGACCATGGTTAATGAATATATGGCATAAAAATGTTTCAGCTTTCGTTTCTTTAACACGTTGACGACCGCGCCATTTTGGGCGAAACTCCCACTAACGTCCTTCGCGCATTTGGCTCATGCATACGCGTGGATGCACGAAAACATTATGTGAAGTCCTTTTGACGCTTATTCATAAAGCAAGTGAACTTTGTTCAGAGATACATGTATATCACAGAGCCTTACCAGAACTTACACAAATCAAAGCTTTTGCGTGGATTTTCCCTCCCAATAACCGCGCAATCGCTATATTGGAGGAATTTCTTTTCAAAAAAAAAACCCGCTGTAATACCAGGTATTTTTTGCTTGATCCATCCTTTTTTGCTTTCAAAACAGCTTTACAGAGTTTTAACCTTTTCGGAAAAACGTAATTAGCATGTGTTTACCTTACCAATTGAGCTTGTCATGAGCGATAATCAGGACATGACAAATGCAGAGTGTTATTGCTCAGATAGACGAGTCAAAGCGATCCTACTGTTGCAAAGCAGCTACCTTTGGCTAGAAGGAATACAGAATCTTTTTCCTGAAGTCAAAACCGTCTTTACTCAACTCGCCAAGCAATCTCGCAATTGTTTTCATAATCAGTTCTTTCCTTTAACTTTTCTCCTGCTTTTTTGAACTGTTGTCTATTCTACAGTTTAAACGATAATACTTTATTCTCAATTGAAAAAAACGGGCAGCGATACTACCAATAAGAAAAGGGAATGGTTATCATCAGTGACACATTACAGTGTAGCAATAGCTAAATCAAGAAAAAGGAGCTCAAAAACGAGATCCCACCGCAAATGGCATCCTTGCTGGAAGTGCTCCAAATCTCCCTCTATGTTCAGCCTGAAGAAAAGTCGAATTGTCAAGAAAATGCAAGTGGATAAATAACTCACCTTTACTTGATTAGCTTACAGTACGGTTGCTGAGTGGAACTTCACTCCACATCATAAACTTGAACGGCTCTGCACAATAACCAATTAACATGTAAAAAATAGGGTATGTGGTTAACTTTGTATGACAAAATAGAATTATCACTCAAAAAGCGGAAATATACTAACCTCTTTACTATGATGATCTCACTTGCACTTTATATACTGCTTGCGGAGCCTGAAAAAAATTTCTACGAGACAGTTCTGAAGAGCATATGTTCACGGATAGGCAAATGCAAAGAAAGCAAATTATCACATCCACAGTGATCAATAATATGTAGCACAACGGAACAAAAGCAACTGTTAAAAAAAACCATGTGAGAAACAGCAAAATCAGAGGAGAATGAGACATGAGCATCGTGTATAAAGGCGCCCCAATCCAAATATCCAGAGCATTGTAGCGACGATAAACTCGGACAGGGCGTGGCCACTAGCTGCGCCTGTTCTAGGTCATTTGTCGCCTTCCGGACGTTCCCCCGCGCGTCCACTAGCGCCTTCGCAAACACTTAGTCAGCCAGCAACAGCGGAGTATGCTGGGAAATGTGGATCAGTCTGACGGTCTCTCGGGAAAAACTAAGTGAGCCGCATATCGTTTCCTGCGGAGATGAAGTGGGGTGGAGGACTACATGTCGCCGAATTTGGAAGAGTCCCGCGAGGATTCCCTGGAGGAACGCATGTCCGCGCATGTACAGTAAGTTTCAACCCTGTTTATGCGAAAATTGAGCTGGCGGGAGTCCGCTTCGCAACGATTCGCGCCGTTTCACTGTCTGCGTCTCTTCATTTGAATCTATCTCGCTGAGTCAGTACGGTGCGGACGCGCTGCTCCACTTGAAATGCTCGCCTAATCCGGGTTGAAAAAGACTGTACAAGGGTGCGTACTTGTCGCATGACCGTGGGGATCGCCCTTTTTCGGCGACATATAGTCCTCTATCCGATGAAGTGCACTTATAGACTTGCCGTCAAAACTAGTGAGTTGGTGTAACCACACAAATGTTCAAATCCGACGAGATATGAATAGATAATAATAGATACTAGCTGGCTTACCCGGCTCCGCCGTATCCGGACCAAACTTGGCACACATACACTTCGGGCCCCGGCGGGTGTCACAGTCCACTTTTCGTTATCGATCGATGTCGATTTTACCGATTTTTATCGATTTTTTTGCAGAGTTCACCTACAGGGCTAGGAGTTGGCACAGGGGGGGGGGGGAAGTGAGCATGGGGATTCCGAATACAACATTAGTTTTCAGGATCGTCCATTACTTTTATCGATTTTATCGATTTTTTGAAAATTTGAGCTAGGGGGCTGGAATTTGGCACAGGAGTGTAATCGAGCATGCTGATCACCTCCCTTGGGGGTGATCAGCATGCTCGATTACCCCCCTGTGCCAACTCCCAGCCCCCTAGCTCAAACTTTGCAAAAAAATCGATAAAATCGATAATAGTAATCGATAATCCCGAAAACCAATATTGTATTCGGAATCCCCATGCTCGATCACCCCCCTGTGCCAACTCCCAGCCCCGTAGCTCAAACTTTGCAAAAAAATCGATAAAGTCGATAAAAGTAATCGATAATCCTGAAAACCAATATTGTATTCGGAATCCCCATGCTCGATTACCCCCCTGTGCGAACTCCCAGCCCCGTAGCTCAAACTTTGCAAAAAATCGATAAAATCGATAAAAGTAATCGATAATCCTGAAAACCAATATTGTATTCGGAATCCCCATGCTCACTTCCCCCCTGTGCCAACTCCCAGCCCCGTAGGTAAACTCAGCAAAAAAATCGATAAAAATCGATAAAATCGATATCGATCGATGACGAAAAGTAGCCTATGACACTCGCCGGGACCCGTAGTGTATGTGTGCCAAGTTTGGTCCGGATCGGTTCAGAAATGGAATTTTCTACTCGGAACATACGTACAGACAGACATACAGACAGACAGACAGACAGACATACAGACAGACAGACAGACAAACAGACATTCAGCTTTATATATAAGATATGCTAAAATCCCTATAGTAAAAGCTACAGTAATTATAACTATAGATACCTAACCTCGAGTCATTTGTAAGTTAATATGTGAGGTTGCACATTAAACCTTATAAGCGACGGCACTCTACTAATAAATTCCCAGTGAAACATTTTCTAGCCTAAAGAAATGTAGAGATGTGTTCTACTGACTAACATATAGCCAACTAAAACAAAAGAAACAAGGAAACAAGGAGAAATCACTGAAAATGAGCAGGTTCTAGTTTCGCAGTTCGTCAGTCAGCGTGTACGCTGTGCTCTACGCATATTAAGTTACAATGACTCGACTATATATCATTCATTCTCTGACTAAGAGACACAACCAGCTTTTCGCACGTTTGATTAACAAGTTCCTTAGTGCGTTCTAACGTCTTCTGATAGATTATTCAGATTTCGTGAGGGAACATGTTCGAACTCTCGTTATTCAACGAACTCGCAGTTCTTATCGAATTCTAATAATAGGTCATCCAAAACGCACTCAATGAACTTGTTATCCGCCGTACCAAAACGTGCTTGTGTCCCATAGGCCTTGGACAGAGTTCATTCACGCGATTTAATCGTCGCGATTCAATCGCGACAAAACAAATTTTACGAGTTCGTTGCATGCCGATCAGCTTACATTTCGGTTGTGATACTTTTCCAGCTCGAAATTTTTTGATGTAAAATGAAAATGAATGAAAATGCGGCGATTAAATCGCGATGATCAAATCGCGTGAATTGTGTCCGGAACCTTAGTCAGAGAACGAATGATAGGTAATTCTAATTATCTATCCACAATAGCAGATACAGTCTGTCCCAGCTGGGATCAGGCCGAACCGTTGGCGTAAATTTGCGCGCTCGCAGCGCTACGGTCTGCCCTGCATATGCACACTGTCGGAGAGAGTGAAGAGATTGGAGAGGGAGCAGACAAGCGGGCCGCAGGCGTGGCTAAAATCCCTAACGACGCGGATTCCCGCCATGCCAATTATGACCTGATCGGGATTTGGGAGACAGTACCAATCCCAACTCTAGAGCCTTTCGTTCGATAAACTTCTGCATCCCAAATCTTCTCTTTATTCTAACTCAGACAATGCAACGGAACTTCCGCAGGACAAGCAGAACTTGCAGCGTTTCTGCAGCACTTTCTTAACCATTGAGAAAGTGCACGCTCCAAAATGCGAAGTTTTCGCAGGGAATTGACGTCACAGGGATCATAAACCGGAACTTCCGCAGCACTTTCCATAAAGCGCTGCGAAAGTGCAGTGAGGCTCGTAAGGTTTCCGCAGCACTTTGACCCACCAGCATTTCCGCAGGACTTTAGGAGTGCATGCACTTGCGATTGCGAAATAGCAAACGCAACATCAACAACGCATAGCGCCCTCTTTTCTTCCATACCTTTCGCTTCTGTTCCTCCTCTTTTCTTTCTCTTTTTTCTTCCTTTCTTCAATGTTGGCGTTAATAAACCTGTACTCATCTATATCCTAAGTATTCTTTCAGGCATCGGTGCAGGTGTGTGAACAACCATCACCAAGCTGCTGGAGTGCTGGAAAAGGATTCAACGGAGGGACTTCGTCTAAGCACAGCGCCCTTGTTTAGGTATGTCGAACTTCTTTGCTTTATGTGCGATTGAAATAATAACGCAAGTAAATTAAAACTATCACTTTGTAGAAAATATGCACTGGATCTAAATAAAGCAGAAGTGATTGGGTAGAAATATATCAAAACGAAAGGGGAGGGAGAG